AAAGAAACACTCACCAGAGACTAGCTTTCTCCTGAACAGCCTATCGGAACTCTTCGTAAGAGAGGGCAGGAAACCCTAAACTGCTCCCCCGCATGTATAACCACGGCAACTGACCTTGCTCTTTGTTTAATTACCTCACATCAAAGGATATTCTCTTCTTCACGCCCAGGTGTGAGAAACTCCAGGACACCAGGGACAGCCCTGAACTCCTTTGTGTAAACAAAAGAGTACTCTCCTCAAAACTCAAAGCATTACCTTGTTTAATTAAATAATCATTTAGTTACTTGATTACGTTTGCCTCCATTTGAGCAGTTATGTTAACATGTTGGTGTTATTTGTTGTTGAAAAGAATCTAAATAAGTTGTAATGTCATCCTATACCCGATTAATTTTCCAGCTCGAATTAAAATAACTAAACTGACTAAATAACTATCTAACTAGGATAACTATCCTGAGCAGAAGACTGTTTTATGGTGAAACAAAGCTATCGTCATGTAACCCGAGCTCCCCCTCCGACAAAATAAGTATTACATGCCATCGTCTGAAATGCCGTTTAATGTATAAATATCACTCGGAAATTTATCATGTCCATAATCTAATGCCATTCGTGTAGCTTGCCTATATTCTCTAAGAACGTGTAACAGCCAATATATACAGAAAGCTAGTTAAGTTCATCTCATCTGTGATTCCTAAGAAATGCTAACCTTTTAAGGTCTAACTACTGACAATTGTTTTCCTTTTTATCAAGTGCTTAAAACTAAGAACGGTACAACCGTTTGACAATTAAGGTTTGATTGTGGGAAGATAATTGATTACAAAACGCACCAATTGTGAAAGTGAATGGACAACTCTGCATACCAATTACCTGAAAAACAGCAAGAGTAAACCAAAATGCAGAAGTCAAGTGGTGGGTGAGCACTTTAAAAAGCCCGAACCGAAGTCTCACTAGAGGATCAATAACACAGGAGACTCAGGAGGACAACTCTTTGGAGGACCAGAGGCAGAAATCAATTGCTGTGGGTGACAAGACAGACCTTACCCACTACAGCATGGAGTGACATCAGCACTCAGTATGGAAGTGGTGAGTGAAATGACCCAAGACCAAAGGAAGCTCAGAAAAAAATGAAAGCAGCATTTGATTTATAATTGCTGTTGGTATTTAAAGACAGTTTCAACATATAACAAAAAATGCTTTTGAAATAATTTGACTACCCTAGTTTTAAGAAAACTGTGAAATACAGATTTTAAAAAGGCAGGCGGTTAGTTCCTACACATGCTAGTTTGATGCACAGATGATAAACACATTTTCTGCTCATGTCATCCCACTATGTATCTGTTTTTCAACGCCTGTCATCGTCTTCCAGCATGTGTCATTCCATTTCTCCACAGCTTTAAGTCTTTTCCAGGAAAAAGAACGTAACTTTTATTCAGCACTGGCAGCTCTAATGCTTTTGTGGATTTTGCTGTCCTGGATGTTCTCTATCACAACACCATCCATCATCATCCCCCCTTAAGAATTAATGAGCCTACGAAGTGATTATGAAACATGGGAACAAAGGCAATAAACAAATTATTCTGACTTTGCACCATCCAGATAAGGCACTACAATTTTCCCCCCAAAATATGTTTTTATTTTTCTGACAATAATAAATTAAGTGATACTGCATGTTTGTGTGGTAATCGACTCTGTAAAACGACCACTACCTCTCCTACTGCTGTTGCCATTACTAATACTATTACAGATAATTCTGCTGCTACTGGTGCTACTGCCTCCTCAGAGACATTTGTAACCACTTAAAACAATACAAAAGTTAAAGCACGATCAGAAACACAGTAAAAATGTTGACATGAATTCAACACAAAATTTTAAATTTAGAATATATCCAAATTAAATAGTGTGCAGTAGTCGTAAAACAAAGAATACATAAATGCATGACTATAAAATCTGTTGGAAGATGAGACCTTGAAAATGACAAATTCTGACGTGGCCCATGTGGAAAAACATTTGATAAACAAGTAAGAATCTGCTCCGTGGAAAGTTTTGTTCCACGCTGGAAACAAAATGTTGAAAAGACTCCTTCCTCATCTGCAACTAAATCTTTACCAAACTGTTAAATCTTATAAAATTTGCCCATTCACTGAAGAAGTCTGAACAGCCTTATATTAGCATGAAAATATGTCATTTGAATGTGGAATATGACACTTTTTTGTATTAGTTATAATATTAGTAAACTCACTTTCTTGCAAAAGGTCAGACAGATGTTTCCAGATTTTGGCCAGATGGAGCTCCAAGTTTTAAAAAAAGTGCCAGATAAGATTAAGGTGAAGTGTGCTGTAGCTAATAAATTCTTGCTTTTCGTCTATTTTCCTTGTTAAGTGTCCAAGAATTCTGGGTAACCATCTAATGCTGGCATTGGTAAGTGTTGAAAGGAGGCAGGTATTCAAATCAGCTTGTACACTGTATGTTTGTCTAGGGAAAGGAGTTATCAGAGGTGAGCCAGGTACTGTAGGCCACGTTATCTGCTGAGGCAGCGAAAAGTGTGCAGAAACTTTGAAGTGGACAAATGTGAAATTATTTGACTTTAGCTTAATTGCTTCACAACTGTTTGTAAACATGGATCACTTTTCCTCATTAGGATTTCTAGAACTGAGCAGCAACAACTTTAAAAACATCCTTCATATTTAGTTTACCTCTCCAGTCACTTAATCCTCTGTTCCTCTGTTTCAGTGTGATGAAAAGACCAACAACTCTGCGTCTGTTCTCCAGCTGTATTCCCCATGAGCTTAGACCGCAACAGTTTAATACTCGCTCAGTCATATCTGACATTTAAGAAATCCACTGCCAGTGACCAGATTGGCAGCCCTCTTAAACCATGATATAAATTTACATGACTTGTTGATTTGGGGAAACTAATGCACATATTGGAACACCAAAAGGCACATCTCATGAAGAAAAGATAATATGTGCCCTCATGGTGCTAAGACAGGGCTCTTGACAGTATGCTTCTCTACAGTGGAAAAACCCAAAGTGCTAGGGATTGTGTTGAGGTTTGGTCCCACTGGAGTGTCTCTGTGTAAGCTGGTTGCTCTCTCAGGGCTCCTCTGCCTCACGGTGGCCAACAGCCCTAAAAGTCTACTGCCACTCATCCACCCTCGACTTATTAAACTGCATCACACAGCTTGAGTGCTGTGTGTGTGTGAGTGTGGATTGGCTACTTTGGATATGCAACTCATTCACGATGAGTGGGGGAACAAGTCTGGCTAAAACTCTGCATTGTGGAGCTCTTGGAAGGGAATCAAGAAACTCAACACGCGTCTCTGCCTCGTCCTAGCAAACACAGCTGTTCCTGCGTCCCCGCGTCACCCCTCTCCGTCAGAACTCTTTTGCTCAGAATTCCCTTGGCCAAACAAACCGAGCAGGTCAACAAAGCAACAGTGGCCAGTTTATGCTGAACTGCACAAAAGAATTATTGGTTTAGAGCTCAAAGGCTACTCTGGTGAGTGCTGCCTCTGGTGAGCTCTGCGCCTGACATGATTTTGTCAAGGATATGAGTATCCCATAATAAAATACACTGCCTATAAGCACACTTACATTAGGATGTAATTGTAGTGACTGATGAAGTTGCCCTGTATCACAACATAATGAAATCAGTTTTCACCTTTTCTATGAGGTCAGAGGGAATAATTTCCTCCCATTTTAACTGTAATTGTTTACATATGTGGTTGTTTATGACTGTGTTTGTGTGTTTTGTGTTTATTGATGATAACATAACATTTAAGTTGCTCTCATAAACACTGCTTCAGAACTGTTTTATTTCATTACTATCGGTAGGACTAAGTTTTTTTGTTTTTTTTTTAAAATAAAGTTCAGCGGACAGAGAAATCTGCTTTTGCACCTTCTACTTATTTTCTAGTGTGTCATGAGCAACAGCTGCACAAAGGCAAAATCTCAAAAACTTGTTTTGGACTCTAATTGGACAGTGAGATTATCAACAGGCCGCGACCCGATCCTGGATAAGCGGATGAAGATGGATGGATGGATGGATTATCAACAGGATGCCATCATCTTTCTTTCCAGCTCCATCTGATGGTCTTTATGGAGAAAGCACCAGTTGTTTATACCCAGGCATTAGTAAAATAATTCTTATCCTCTTCATGACCTTTTCATAAAGCGTATTTATTTTGCAACAGTGATTTTAACGTTCTCTCGTCGTCTGTATGTATAATGAACTGTAAAGACTTTCTGATTTTCTCAGTCAGAATCTCAAGACTATGAGGATTTCACCAGTGT